TCGTGCTCAACACATTTTTATGCATCATCATTGCCTACCATTGGACGAACAAACAAACGCTAGGTTGACACGACTTGGGAGTAAAATGTCGATGGTAGAAGATCGCTGAAATAGGACAGTATCCTCCGCGTGCAGGACAAATTGTTCCGTGTTGGTCTGAATTGGAAATCTGTGTTTTACTCTGGAGTCCATATTCTTCTATTTCCGTAATTCGAACCACATTACATCACGTCTCACTTTGTTTCATCATAGGAGGCCGATTTTGGTGTGGCTGACGCATGCCAATATTCCTCCTTATTTCATTTGGCAGTTCGTATTCTCATAACAAGGTAGGAACCCCCAAAATACGATATTGATTGGGATAGACTGTCTGAAATGGCGTTTTGACTATCATAGGCAACGAGCTAATTGGATTGTTTTCCAAAGAAGCCCGGGTGGTTGCGATTTAAAACACTCCGGGTATGATTACAAGAGCATGTTGATGACCTCCGAAAAGAGACGATGAGTGGCTTCATTGGCTATACATGAGCGAAATCACCGATATGCAGGATACCATATATTTTTGGAGTAAAACTTAAGAGTGAAGAAAGTGAAAATATTCGTCCAAGAAATAAGTTTCAGGCTTCGTTTGAGCAGACCAAAATCCTCGTTAGATAGGCAAGGAAAACGACATTATGGAATTACAAAATGAGGGAGAACATAGGGCAGTGCACAAAATTCCGCACCGAATTGTGGGAGTAACTGAATAACTGGAAGAAAAACGCCACATCTGTCTTCAGCTAGCTTCGTTCATCGAAATGATTTTCAGCAGCTATGACTCTCGTAGATGAAGATCGTTTCGTCAGTAGTTTTCTCTAGAAAGGGACACCCGTTCAGCTATAGCACCCTTTCGGTGATTAACTGCCATGCCATCAGAAGGGAGCATGGGGGCTAGGATACAGTCAGGTTGCCTAAGCCTAGACAGGATGCAGAGGTCGGGTTCGAAACACGGACCCTCCGGTCAGTACATTCGCGCTCTAATCATTGAATCATCTCACCCCAAGGACCCTATAATTCAATCACCGAGTCTTTCTCTGCATTCAGGTTAAACAAAACGTATACACCTCTCCAACAGATGGCATTCCTTCAACGAAATCACAGGACCGTGATTTACTGATGATTGGCGTGGAACTGGTGACTTTCGAGAGGCCATTCCTTCCAACGTGGGCCTTGCAAAGACCGTCTGATCAACTACTAGTTCTGATTGTAGTGTGACAGATGAGGTCAATGCACGAATCTGAAAGGCTCGGGTCATGTTTGTGAAACTGAGATACCTATGGCGTCAAAGTGGTGTATCTCTGAATCTCAAGGGACGTGAGTATCAAGCTACAGTGCGGACTGTTTTGTTGTATGGCTGTGAGAATTGGCCTGTTAGAGCAGCGGAACTGAGACATCTTCAGTTGTTCGACAATCGCTGTCTCAGGATCATAGCTCGTGTAGATTGGTGTGAGCAAATCCGTAACGAGGCAGTTAAAAGACGGGTTTCCGGTTGTGCACCCGGCACTTCCATTTAACAATGTTCCCAGCAACAGAAGCTGTGTTGGGCCATATGGGACCATTGTTTGCCGAAGAAGATGCCGTTTTCCATGCCCAATTCAGAATGGCGGAATCAAGAGGGTGGCTAACCCTTGATATAACAGGGGGCTATGATAGGAATCGCGGAGCGTTTGGGTACTGTCGGTGCTACTCGCCTACCAATTAGGAGACTGTGTAAAGACCACTGCGCCTGGTTGGAGACGCTGCAAGATATGGCTGCTTATCGATGTCAGTGGCGTTCGTATTGTCAATTTCTATCCAGATCGACTGAATGAGTGTAGACCACTGCGGTTGGAGACGCTGCAAGATATGGCTGCTTATCGATGTCAGTGGCGTTCGTATTGTCAATTTCTATCCAGATCGACTGAATGAGTGTCTGGGGGTGTGGGAATGGTCGAAATAAAGTAGCGCTAGTTCACTTCTCCCGTCCACCCTTATTCTTTTCTTGGAGGAGGAGGAGGAATTGGGATTCTTCTAAGCTTTCGATAGAACTGCTGCAAGGCTGGACGAATTCAACCCTGTTGAACTGGATACACGATTAGCTGAAGCATCGAAACTTACTGGTACGAGTTTATCGTCCTGTCCAATCTCAGTTAATTGTGTACATCCACAAGGTTCAGTTCTAGCACCTCTCCTTCACCCACTTGTAATCAACAATGATGAATTTATCACTACCGAAGTCACAACTTAGTGATCGATTTGGACGATGGACGATAATGTATATAATAATACCATTTGTTTTTTCTGAACTGTGCTGAGGTCTATTTTTAGACTAGCAGATAGTGAAAAATGCCAATGGACCATATCGATCACTTCTGGTGCTCTCAAAAATGCACCATCTCCGAAACAGTTACTAAAAATTGTCAACGGAATATAAGTTTTCAATACCGTTATTGGAATAGTTTCTCCTCCATCATTACAATACAAAGAAGTCGATTTTCTCAGATTTCATTCACGAGTAGGAGCCATACCGTCTTGCATAACTTCCATCCACTGACGGTGTCTGACTCCAAGGGATTACTTGAGCAACGTGGTCCAATTTTCCCCATTTCACACAATGATACTATGGTGACCCGTCCTGGCTGTGCGCGAGTGAAGTCCTGACCAGCGACCTAGACGTGCATCTTTCGGTCCCCTGCATTTGGTTCATTGAGGAGTCCCGGGTCTGATTGTATACCAGCATGATATGCGTAACAATTCCTTCTATCCATATTCTCACTTTCGTATCTGGGCTAGCCACCAAGTCATGTTGCTTAGCTAAAGGCAAAAGCAGGTTGTTCACTTCGAGAACATACTGTACCATTGAGTGCTGACCACGACCAAGAGTACTTCAGATGTGGTTTTCGAATATCATCAGTTGAACTTGTGAGCATGGCACATGTTCAGTGAAGATGAGAGAATCTTCTAAATGGGATTACTGCAATGCATTTAGTGGTGTTTCGTGTACAATAGGCTAAGTGACTTTACTGTGTGTAATGGGAATCAGTCGCAACTTCAGTGAGTAGATCCATTGAGTCATCTGTCGAATGTTCTAATTTGACCGTTCCGTACGTCTGACAAAAGACTGCAATTATTCAGTGGTGGCTCGCTGTTTTATGCGCCATAAGTATAGGAAGCTAATGAAGTGACGCGAGTAATCAGAGCTGATGAACGTGACTGCTATGCACTAACACTATACCGCATATACGTATCGGATAGCAGAGTTAGCGGGACAACATATTATCCCAAATCCAGTTAGAATTGAGTGAATACATTCAGCTGAAACGAAAACATTCGGGTATTGTTTCCTTCCAACCGTTAGCCTACAGAATTCTGCCAGAAAATCAATACGTAGACCTTCACAACGGCTGAACCACCGGAGAAGCTGTGACCAGACGACGGAAACAGGCAAATGTTTATTCGAACCAGACTGACGCAGACGAGCTTACTACTGGAAGCCAACGCCACGGAATGTCTGAACGTCAACCTTAAACCTAACCTAGGATTGGCTTCCAGTAACTAGGCTACGCGAGCAGCTATTGGACTAGAATTTCAAGGACAGACAAGGCGAGAGGCTATAGGCGTCTCGAAGGTCGTTATCACAACCATATTTAAACAAGTGCCCAGGGCTACCATTCAACCGAATTTTCCGTCGACTCCCCTAGTCCTGCTTCCCGCTGCGACGCACTGACAATGCCAGCCGTTGGAATCGATTTGGGTACGACATACTCGTGCGTTGGAGTGTTCCAGCATCACTGACAATGCCGTTGGAATCGATTTGGGTACGACATACTCGTGCGTTGGAGTGTTCCAGCATGGAAAAGTGGAAATCATTGCCAACGAACGATCAAATCGCACGACACCCAGCTACGTTGCGTTCACGGATACCGAACGACTGATTGGCGATGCTGCGAAAAATCAAGTCGCAATCAATCCAAGCAACACTGTGTTCGATGCGAAAAGACTGATCGGTCGGCGATTTGATGATCCATCGGTGACGTCTGACCGAAAACACTGGTCTTTCGAAGTTATCCAAGAGGGTGGTAAGCCAAAGGTCCGTGTGGAATACAAGGGGGAGGTCAAGACGTTCTCGGCAGAGGAGATATCTTCAATGGTGTTGACGAAAATGAAGGAGACAGCCGAAGCATATCTGGGTACGAAGGTGAAGGATGCTGTGATTACTGTTCCGGCTTACTTCAATGACAGCCAGCGTCAAGCGACGAAGGATGCGGGTACGATTGCTGGCCTGAACGTTTTGCGAATAATCAACGAACCGACAGCTGCTGCGATTGCTTATGGTTTGGACAAGAAGGTGGGTGGAGGTGAGCGACATGTATTGATCTTTGATCTCGGTGGTGGTACGTTCGATGTTTCCATCCTCACGATCGACGATGGTGTTTTCGAAGTGAAGTCGACGGCGGGTGACACGCATTTGGGCGGTGAGGATTTCGATAACCGAATGGTGAGTCACTTCATCCAAGAGTTTAAACGCAAGCACAAGAAGGACATTTCGGACAACAAACGTGCTGTCCGTCGCCTTCGGACGGCGTGTGAACGTGCTAAGCGCACTTTGAGTTCGAGTGCGCAGGCGAACATTGAGATTGACTCGTTGTACGAGGGTATCGATTTCTACACGTCGATCACGCGTGCTCGGTTCGAGGAACTGAATGCAGACTTGTTCCGTGGTACGCTTGACCCGGTGGAGAAGGCTTTACGCGATGCGAAGATGGACAAGAGTGAGATTCATGACATTGTGTTGGTGGGTGGTTCGACTCGAATCCCGAAGGTGCAGAAGCTGCTTCAGGATTTCTTCAATGGTAAGGAGTTGAACAAATCGATCAATCCGGACGAGGCGGTTGCGTATGGTGCTGCAGTTCAGGCTGCGATTCTCAGTGGTGATAAATCGGAAGTTGTGCAGGACTTGCTTCTGTTGGATGTGGCTCCTCTGTCGTTGGGTCTGGAGACGGCTGGTGGTGTTATGACCGCTCTGATTAAGCGGAACACCACAATTCCCACGAAGCAGACGCAGACGTTTACAACCTATTCGGACAATCAGCCTGGAGTACTGATTCAAGTGTATGAAGGCGAGCGTGCGATGACCCGTGACAATAATCTGTTGGGCAAGTTCGAGCTGTCGGGGATTCCTCCGGCCCCACGTGGAGTGCCACAAATCGAAGTGACTTTCGACATAGATGCGAACGGTATTCTGAATGTGTCGGCGGTGGACAAGAGCACGGGTAAGCAGAACAAGATAACGATAACGAATGATAAGGGTCGTTTGTCGAAGGATGAGATTGACCGTATGGTGGCTGACGCGGAGAAGTACAAGGCGGACGACGAACACCAGCGTGATCGTGTGGCAGCGAAGAACGCACTGGAGAGTTACGCTTACTCGATGAAGCAGACTGTTGAGGATGAGAAGGTGAAAGACAAGATTTCGGAGTCGGACCGTAAGTTGATCAGCGAGAAGTGTTCTGAGGTGATATCTTGGGTGGATGGGAATCAGACGGCGGAGAAGGACGAATATGAGCACAAGCAGAAGGAGTTGGAGAAGGTGTGCAATCCGATCATAACGAAGATGTACCAGGCTGCTGGTGGCGGTGGTGAGGGTATGCCTGGTGGTATGCCCGGTGGATTTCCAGGTGGATTCCCTGGTGCAGGAGGTGGAGCTGCTTCCGGTGGTGGTGCTCGTGGCCCAACAATTGAGGAAGTGGATTAATTTCTGTGGTTATGCATCCATCATTTAGTTCAACCTACATTCAATATACGATTGGTTCATTTAGCGGCTTTTCTTGTATTTGGGCTGGAGGTGTTTAAGTCTCATTAAATCTTAGTTGTCGTATTCTAAGTCGCTTAGGAGCTGCAAGAACCGCGTGCTTGTCGTGCAGTGTTTATTGCTGCCGCAGTTTTGTTCACCAATGATTTAGGGAGATGTGGTAGGCAGCTGCGCATTGGAGATGCTAGCTGATGTGATTGCTGCGTAAATATAGGGTTGTCAGTGGACTTTTAATTGGGGAGATTTGGGAGGGCAGGTATGCTTTGAAAGCAACAGCTGAGTCGAGTAAACAGGTGAGTGGTTGTGGATGTGCGGCACTTTCACGGAGCCCAGATGCCATCCCATTGGATTTTCAGGGGCGGCATCTCGCATCGGTCTGCTAGCCACCCGTAGTCCGCATGGTGTCGTGGTTCGTGGATGGCGGTGTTGCCCAGTGCATATAGCCTGGTTTCGTTTGTTATTTTGGCCTACTTACCGGCTGCCACAAGGCAGTCTTCGCCTAGCATTGTAGGTAAGGCGTTGTGTTCAGGTCGGCCATCTCACTGCTCGAATGAAATCCCGTTCGGCAGCGGTGGGCTCGACTGGTCGGGGGGGGGGGACATTGCTGTTGCTCCGTACCCTTTTTACCCGCACGCTTTGCAGCTTGTGGGCACATCTGCGCACCGAAGCAAACGGTAATGAAACGCCGCCGGTCGAAATGTAGCACACTAACATGAGGAGTTCATGAGTTATCTGGGCACTTTTGGATGTTTGGCTAACTTTGAAAGAGAAATCCATGTCGGCTGAACACGGTTATGACTCAAATCTTCCCTTAAGATTTGTTGGCTGATGTTACATTTTCCAAACGAGAAAGCAACCGTTGTTATGTGGGAAGGCTACGAAGCTAGGAGTGCAACCGTCTTTACATTTCGCCCATAGCAAGGTTTGTATAGAGTCATCCGGCCGAGAAACTCGGTCGCGAATCCAGTACATGGAACTGCGACCCATTTAAGACTATCGTTTTTCTTCCCATCCAGCATAGCTACCTCGCATCTCAGGGCACCGGCGTTTTTTGACGTCTTTTGGGCGTAAACAGTTTTTGGCGGCTTCAGACTGAAGCCACAATAAAAGAGCATTGACTGAAGACTTTGCTTACAGCCCCCCATGCGGCCCGTTTCCTCGGCCTGGCCCCTGACCGTTGCTTTAAGCTGCTGAAAGCGAAATTTGAATTAGTGCTGACGAGGTCATTTAGTGAGCCCAGACACGAGCGAATTGGTTGATATGAGTTGGCGCATAGAGTGGAACTCGTTCGAACGGTGTATCAAAAGCCTATTTGCGGTGGGTGCATACATGTGAGAAAATGTAAATATGTTCCGAGAGTTGATTGAACGGACGCAGCGGAACCTGAAGGCCTGTTCATTACAAAGACGTAGCAACAGGGCGTCTCAGAAGGCCGCCACCTTCCCATAAGCCCCACAAAAAAGGAAAAGGTGTGGGCATGGCAGAAGGGTGGTGGTGGGGTAGGTGGGGATGAAACCATAGAATCGCCGTTGTAAATGTTTCGGGCGCTCGCATTGAATGTACTAACCACAGTGGCATCAGTTTGTGACGAGGCTTCCGACATCCCTGATTCTTCGTCTTACGGCAGCACGCCAAAACCGTGGTCCATGAGCACCAAACGGGATTCCGACTGGGTAGGAACTGCACTAACCACGTCACATCGCATCAGATGTTAGAGCATTGCTATATACACAGATGGCCGACAATCTCGGCGTTTATTGACTTGATATATGCATTCGGTACTGTAAATCGGTCAGTGCTGTCAGCCACACTTGCTCAACAGTGCCCCCAGAACATTTTGGTCCCCATATTAGCATATTTCGTTGCGTGTGTGTGATGAGCTAAGAGCTTCTCTACAAAAACTTCTGTCCGACATGTATATATGCCCCATACATTCTTGTGCAAATTCGTCACTGACGAGATAATTGGGTGAACACTGGTGTTCAAATTGTTCAATCAATCTGGAGTACGCGGACGACATCGCCCACATCGCCTTTGGAGACCAAGGCGAAGCACATGCCCTGCTAAAAAGACTGACCACAGGCTTACCATCTTTTGTCATGCGCGCTGTACCCACAACATGCAAAGTCATGCTTCAGAGCATACATTCTGTGAATAAATTCCCTGCAATTTAAGAAGCACTGGAGGTATAACATACATCCGTAGGCACAGCAGTATCTGGTGAAATCAGTGTACAAATCTAAAAGGCTTGAATCATTTAGCTAGTTTGCGTCACTTGTGGCTTCAACAAGGCATCCCACCGGGTTTCAAGGATCGCATGCACCAGGCTACAGTAAGGGCCGTGTTATTGTATGGTTTCGGGACATGGCTTCTGTGTACAGATGATGTGAGGCGTCTTCGGATTCTTGACCACCAGTGTCTCAGAAGTGTTGGTGGTGTCAAATGGAGTCAACGAATTCGTAACGAGGTAATTAAAAAACCGGCACTTCAGTTTCGGGCAACATCCAGTACCATCGACTGCGATGGCTCGGCCACCACTGAGACACGGTCTGCCGAGACGAGTGTTGTTCTCTGTGCCTCTTCCAGAATGGCGCGAACTTCAGTGGACGAGGTATGACCTGGCAGAGGGGTGCGAAACAGAATATGGAGTGTGTGTGTGTTGTTCGTGTGGTCCACCCTCCAGAACGGGATCCCCGTGCCCCCTGCGCCCAGCTGGATACATCACAAAAATGACGATCATAATGCTTGCGGTAGACAAAGACCAGTTTCCTTTCTCATCCACTCTTTATCTTCTTTCCCTTTTGCCTTCAAATTGGATTAAATAAACTTTATGGTTTTTCTTGAGTGAAGCATCAATGGCATCACTGATGATGCTTTCTCTGATAATGATGGGGACTCTTAGAAAAGACGGGAAGGTCATATGTGCTCCTGCGGAATGCAGAAGCTCGTTAGCTTCGATGCTGGTCGGATGGAAAATCGCGGAACGAATGTTTCATGTGCTCGATCGATTCGGCTTTCGAGAGGCCCCCACACGCAGGCCAATGGTGATGTCGGTGTCATTATTACTTGGCTGCCAAGCGTCATTTTGTCCCCACACGCAGGCCAATGGTGGTGATGTCGGTGTTATTATTACTTGGCTGCCAAGCGTCATTTTGCGCCACGGATTTTTTGCAGTCCATGATGAGGATGGTGAGAGGTAGACTCATTCTGTGTCCCACGGATTACGCAAAGCTCCCATGTGTTGAGTCCTTACTAAAGTCATGGATATAGGAGCATAAAAGTCCAGCAACAAGAAATTGAGCTTCTAGGTGAAAATGACTACGGTAGGTCTAACCTCGTTAAACTACTCAAGATGACTGGAGAAGGTTCCCATATACAATGTCAGCAAGTCAACACGAGAGGCTGTTAGACATCCATGCGACCTACGCGTCGACAATCGCCCAATGGCTACATTAGTAATACCAAGAATGAGCATACCTACAGACTATCTGGATGCTAGGTAATGCGGAGTCTCGCGAATGCGATGACCGAAGAGATTGCAAGGTGACTGTACTGTACCCTAAATACCTGAGCATGTTTCAAGAAGAGACAAACTGACGGAGGGTAGTATCGACCTCCATGCACCGTGACGCTTCGCTGCGAAAAGCTCTCAACGGTATTCTTACCCCAATTTATCGCTGTGATTTTTGACGCGTTGATTTAAGTTTGAGACCCTAGTGAACTAAGCAACGTGAGAAGTGTTTCGAGGGAAATTCCTAACCCTCACGATTAGCAAACATTCGTAACTAGGTCCACGATCTATACATACAGAATACTTTGTGACTCAAAACACAGCACATGATAGTATCACAGATGAAATGCTCAAGGTGCCCGAATTCCAGCGAAGTACAAAAAATTGCGGTTTTAAAAGCAAAGACCTCTCAAAATTGACAGCTTATTCTGCGTTTTCATGCCTACCGACGCACTTGGAGCACATCATCATTATCAGCTGTAAGGACCACGTACTTGTCCTACAACGGTTCTAGCTGCCACATTTTCGTTCACCTATGATTTGGGAAGATGGGGTAAGTAGCTGCGCATTGAGGGGCTGTGGCTGATATCATTGGTGCACAGATACAGGATCGTCTGTGGACTTTAATTAGGGAAGGAAGGCTATGGATTGAAGGCAATGGATTGTATAGACAAGCGCTTAAGATTCACCTTTTCATCTCACTTACGTTTGTGAT